ACAAACATTAAGATGAGAGGGATAAAACTTGCAAAACTTAGCCACAGAAACTAAAAACAAAGATATGGCTGTGTTGCATATTTCTCTACGACAGCCAACTGGGGCCCAATTTGAATTTTGTGAAGTATAGCATAAAAATTTAGATTTTTTTTTCATTTACTTAATTTCAAAATGCAGATAAAACCATCTTCTTATCTAAAAGGTGTTTCCAGGTGACTGGTTTTAAAATGAGAATCTTGTAAAGAGGTTGTCAATATGCACTTAAAGGCTGCATACATGATACTATGCTAGAAGCTTGAGAATAATCATGTCCCAGCCAAAATATCAGCATCCTCAGCAGGTGATGATCCATGTGGAGGTGATGGAAATAAAGAAACAGCATTGTTCTTGTATTGCATCTTGGAACTAGTCAGTCCAAGTATTATATGATAAGAAAAAATGTAAGATTAGACTGTTATTTCATTCCTACATAGCCCCCTCGTTTGCAATTTGTCTATTATTGTACACATAGCTTTCAATGAAACACTCTAATACTGAAGAACAACTTAAAAACCTGACGATTCTTAAGCAAGTTCTGGAGCTGTCTTTCTCTAAGCAGATATGGATATTTGTTTTTGGATGGGAGTCTGAGATAATAACATCATTGGAAGGTGTAAATGTCACTGAGTTTTAAAATATATGTATATGTCTGTGGGGTCAGATTTGACTGAACTGTGTATTTGGCTCATGTCTCTCTCTCTGCAAAAGTTGTTTGTGCACTCCAGTCCAGCAGGTGGCAGCGGTGCTCATGGGGCTTACTTTATTTCAGGTCTGTAACTTTAAACACCACACAGAGGGCTGGAGACGATACTTCCTGTTGTTTCAGGCACATTTGGCAAGAAGCAAAGGGTAACGTACAGCATTTTCTTTCAGTTTTGGCATATTTGTTACAGTAGTAGTGTAAATATTCATTACATGTTATAGTAGCACCCTCTGAATGTGTGTGAGTGAGAAAGAAACAAGTTTGATCATTGGTGAATAAGGCAAGAGACATAAAACAGTGACCAAACACCAATAATAACACGGTTATCTACAATAATGCTGTGTGAGTCAGTGCCATCTGTTAGTCGGTCTGTTTTTAATTGTTAATTTACTTGTTCTTCTTACTCATTGTAAAGCACTCTGTTTTATTTTTATTGTTTTTAACAGATGCTCGTGGACAACAACTGACAGTGTGCCTCCCTTTAACTGCATGGTCCAGCACTGACCTGGGAAATGAAACAGGAGTACCAGGATCTCGTCCTGCAGGCATGTGGTGCCTCATCTCTGCGTGTCGGTGCAAAGATCCAGACCCTGTGGAGCGGTTATGGGGAAATAGTCAGGCTACACCTGGAGGACTGTGACCGACCCTCTGTGGTCGTCAAACACGTCAAGTTTCCGCAGGAGGCCGAGCACCCGGGCGGTTGGAACACGGATCGCTCCCACACACGTAAAGTGAGATCCTATCAGGTGGAGACGCACTGGTACCAGAACTATTCCACCAGTCCGAGCTGTCGCATCCCTGCCTGCCTAGCTGCCTGTTCCCATGGAGACGAGATGCTGATCGTGCTGGAGGATCTGGATGTGGCGGGTTATGATCAGAGGAGGTATGACCACTGCATGTTGTATGAAATACTGGGTAATCTGTGACCCTGCAAAGTCTAGGGCATCAAATGAATAGTCATATTCAACATTTCCATTAATATGACACAGTTTAACATTTCATTAGCGCTGAAAAAACACATTTTGAGAAGATCAGTTTCCACAGAACATCCATATAAGGGGGACAGCGTGACTGAAGGAGAGATTTTAGAACTACTGGTGTCAAAATTCCTAAGCCTTTTTTCTGACTCAAAAGCTTGTGAAATTTTTAGATTATTTTTCATCATTTAATTAATTCATTAAAGTTTTTATTATATTTTCTGTAAATTTTATTCTCCTACATGCTGTTTCAAAGGATAATTAATTCTGGTAGAGAAATACTAAACCCCTTTTTCTCATATTTGTGGATTTGGATGTTAGTAACGTCAGAATAAATCTGAAGGTCTGCAGTTCAACTTCATAGCTATTTTAACATTTCAAATCCAATATGCTGGAGGACAGAAAAAAAGAACAGTCCAAATATTTCAAACAAAACAGTAAGAAACTGCAAGTGTGGGTGTGACACTCTGTTTTGGCCTTTCATATTGTATAATTCTCGGTTTCAAGGCATCTTTTCCAGGTCTTTCAAGGCAAGACGAAGAGTGGAACATGATGAATAAGAATAAATAAGTTTGTTTTCCTTTGTAGAACCAGTGTGAAGGACAGAGAGATAAGAGCTTGCCTCAGCTGGCTTGCCCACTTCCATGCTCTGTTCCTGGGTGTGGCAGCAGAGGGGCTGTGGCCTGTTGGTACCTACTGGCACCTGGAGACCCGGCCAGATGAGCTGGAGGCCATGGACGACGCCGAGCTCAAAGCAGCAGCTGGCGACATCGACAGAATACTCAACGAATGTTGCTTCAAGACTATCGTGCATGGAGACGCCAAGTTAGCCAACTTCTGTTTTTCCCAGAGTGGACAGGACGTGGCAGCTGTAGACTTTCAGTATGTTGGTGGAGGCTGCGGGATGAAAGACGTGGTGTATTTTTTAGGTAGCTGCATGGAGGAAAAGGAGTGTGAAAAGAGGGTACCAGGCTTACTGGACTACTATTTCACAGAATTAAAGCTAGCTGTGAAAAAAGATGTGGATTTTGCTGCACTAGAGAAAGAGTGGAGGGAGATGTTTGCATTTGCCTGGACAGATTTTCACCGTTTCCTGTTGGGATGGATGCCCGGACACTGGAAGATCAACCGCTACAGTAAACAGCTGACCAAGGAGGTACTGCGCAAACTGAAACCACACCAGAAACTTCAAACATCTGACAACAAGAGGAGTAAGCGTGTGGCTGACAGGTGATCAGCTGTAAATCTGAATATGGAAAAATAAATCACCCACAAACACACACTTTACATCACTATTTACAGTGAAACATGCTTATCAACCATTTCTGGATAAATAAAAGTTTTTGACAAAATGCTTGGGCTTTTCTCGTCTATACTGCAGCTCTTTAAAGTAGAGGAGAACATTTTTTTGTGAAGTTGATAAACTCTCAATTCTCTTTTCGTTTGCTGTTTGGTTTTATGTGCCTTGAAAATTACAATAATGAGAACTGAATGAGAAATGATGACTGGAGTGCATCCATCAAATCCTGAAAAACCATACTTATTTTCTTAATCTCTTCAGCACTAAGAGCTTTCATTACTGAAACAATGAAGTCAATCAGTGTTTTGTCCAGTTGTTTCAACAATTTGAATTATTGATGTTTTTTTTGGCTGGGAACTTCAGGGAAGGTTCTCTAAATGTTTCACAAAATAACCTTTAGAGGCAAAATGACCTTCAGAAAATGTTAAAAGAAGGTTCTCTAAGAAAAAGGTTTTACAAAAATAACCTTTGGGGAAGGTTTCCGCAAGGTTCTCTGAAGGTAAACTATTTGCTGAGTTGGTATTTGCAGTTTATTTGTCTAGTAAATTGCTGATCATAAAAACAAAAACATTGCTGTTTAATTATCTCTTAAAGAAACTAAATATCACCTATCTGCTGCTATAGTTTAGTTATAGTTATATATTTAGTTTATTATATTTAAATATCTAATTGTACATATAATTATATTATTTATCTTTTTTAAGTACTTGATATTGTCATTTTGCAGTTTTTCTTTCTTTGTACTGTCCACTCTGCTGTTGCAGTACTGCACATTTCCACACTGTGGGACTAACAAAGGAATATCTTATCTTAACAAACGGTTACCCCTAGGTGTCTCCTAGCAACCACGTCGCTACAAACTCTTGACTAAACAACTAGCAACAACGCTGTGGATTACATTAATTTTATTGTTATAGCTGTGGTTATAACAGTAAAAATAAGAGCAGTTCAAACAGAAATGGTCCGTCTTTCTGGCTGTTTATCTTTTTTGTTTTTTTCCTGATCAGCTGTTTCAAGAGGATGATGACGTGTTTCCGCTCTCACACCCGACATTACAACAACAAGGCAGGCGAACGGAGCTCGGGCGGAGAGAAGCGACGGCACCAGAAGAGTAAACAGGTAGAGGAAGAAGAACAAAGCTCCCTGAAGCGATAATCCGCTTTTAGTTCGCATACTGAGGCGGTTACATGTGTTGTCACCGCGGGAACGGTTTGTCAGTCTCAACGAATTTCTCGCAAACCTCAGCGAAGCTAGCGTTAGCCGACGAGCTAACCCTGCTACCCTGGCTTCATGACAAGGGTCAGAATATAAACAGAGCTGGCCGGAGTGACCTACCTTATTTAAAGCCTGTTTACACAGTGTATTTGTCAGTTTGTGAGCACGGAGGTTTCACAGGTTAACAGAATGGTTAGCTAAATTAACTCTGAGTCCCCTGGCTTAGCGTGACTCGGGGATGATTTACAGTAAATTAGTTGTTTTGACAGTTTACTGTAAAAATGATGCAACAGGGCAGGTGTCAGGAAGTGAGACTCCCCCACCTCAGCAGTGGTAACTTTCTGGTGCAGTGTTTGAACGTTTTACCCCGTTAAACAGAAGTCACAATATTATAAGATAACTTATATAGAGCTGCAAGTAACGATTACTTTCGATTGATATTCTGATTAATTTTTGGATTAGGTAATCAGTTGTATGGTTTGTCAGACATTAGAAAATGGTGAAAAAGATAGATAATAGTAAAAGATGACAATGATAATTTCTCAGAGCCCAAGTTGATGTTTTTAAATAGCTCTTTGTTTTAAATTGACAGTCCAAAACCGAAGGATATTCATTCTACTACAATGTAAGACTGGAAAAAATGGCAATTCAAAGATTAAACGATTCATTGATCATCAAAATAGTTGCTGCTAATTTTCCTGTCAACTGACTAATGAGTGAATCAACTAATTGTTTCAGCTCTAATCTATTATATATCAGAGCGAGAAGAGAGACTCAGAGAGTAAAGAGACTCAGATTCTTCCTCTTTTTTTCCACCAGAAATCCAGGAGCTGCCACCACACAAGAATTGCTTCTATACATTATATTGGAAACCACGAACAGATCTACAGATGCAGCAGATGTTGTAGAGGGGGAACCCCATCCCCCACTTACAGCAGGGACTGTTTTAGGTGTTTTGCTGAGTCCAGAATGGAGAGGATTTGAGGCTGAAGTTTTCTCCTCAGGTGAGTCCTGAGTCGTGACACAGGTTCTTCAGAGCCCACCCTGCTAGTAATATGAGCCATGGACTCTGGGGCAGTTGATATTCCTGTAACCCTGGTCATTAAGGCCCCCAACCAGAAGTATGAAGACCAGACCATTAACTGCTTCCTCAACTGGACCGTGGAGAGGCTGAAGAGTCACATCTCCAACGTGTACCCCAGTAAGCCGGTAAGCAGCTCTCACGTCTCACAGATTTCTCTGTTGCCTATTTTCTGGCTCCACTTAGTGTTTGAGTGACGTTCAGTTAACTTGAAAAGGAGTTTAAAACGGCTTTATGGAACAGGAGGGTTTTTGAAAATATTATGATGATGTTTAGGTGGACTAGACAGTTTTTTACATTTGAAGAAGAAGCTGGAATCAGTAAATATTCAACACACTGAATAATTATTTTTTGAGCACAGACCACTCATCTCCTGCAGGGTTGGTAGGCGGCTTACAAGTGTTTTATGTCAGTTACAATAAATTTCAACTGTAAGTAGTTTTTATAGGAGGGAAACTCCAACCACTCCTGTAGTATAATCCAAAGTAAGCTTAGCATGTTCCAAACAATCATAACACCAAATACAGAGCACATGTCTTTATCCTGTGTAACCACTTGAGGTTGTGATCAGGTGCATTGTGTTGGTTTGTACACAATAGAGCACCGGCCTGCTGCTCCCACGTTTGGTAAAAATAATCTCCTGTTGCGTTTTGTATGTAGTGGATAGAGAGTGCTGCATTTCTAAATAGATAAGGTCTTCAGTTGCTTGGGAACACTGTAGTTTACATGTATGTTTCTGCACCTCAGAACAAAAAAACACAGGCCACAGATATAAAGAGCAAAACAAAGATGAATAACCATTGCAACAAAACATGTGCTAAAAGGGGGGTCATGTTTGTGGATTTCACCTGGAGGGTTGCCCCTGTTAACGACCCGGTCAGGAGTACTTTCTCATTTTAACATTAAACATAATGCACAAACATGTAATACCTCACTGCTCCATGCTGGTCTCTGAAGGGTTTGTTGTACCAGGGAGTATATAAGGAAAATTGGATTATTCAAATGTGTCATATGACTACTTTGCTAGTGGGATGTATTGTCAGAGATGGATGTTTTTAGTAGTGTGTAATCACCTGAAGCTAAGAATCGTTGTGTTTTCGTTAGCTTAGAATGAGCCTTTCGTATTTACAGAGGGAGTGGATCCTCTTCCACAGAACCCGCCATGTTGCACCACTATGTTTCTACAGTAGCCCAGAACAGACAAACCAAATACTGGCTCCGGAGAGGGCCTTTCACATTTTTAAGTTACCTTAAGGCCACCGTAGGTTCTTCTACATGTTTGGAAAGGGAGGGGAGGGGATGGTCCTTTAACACTGCCACTGGTCCTTTAAAACACATAGAAAATCCCTCATGTCTGTGTGTGTATGATGACAAATCGTGTTCCAAAACAAACATAAATATGACAAGAAAATCTCTTGCCACTGCCGCCAAGTGCTTGCTCTTGGCGGGAGTTATTGGTTGATATAAAGAGAAGCTCTCTATTTGAAAATTGCCTTGAGATAACTTCTGTTGTGAATTGGCGCTTTACAAATAAAGTTTAATTGACTTGACATTTCATTCGTATTGTGAGTGAGAATGAGGGGACAACCTTTGAGTGTCTCTTGCTGTGACACTTAAGTTGCCAGTTTTCCATCGTGGTCAAGTGTGCTTCCTACAACAACACAAAGAGCCACCACTGAGGAGAAGTGAAAGCTTAGTGACGCACAGAGAATATGTTTGTACATGCAGAGAATGCTTTTAGTACATTTTTAAAATCTAATCTAGCCCCGGAATCTAATCTAATTTAATCCAAAAGGTGCCTGATTGCTTCACACACATTAAAGATTTGACATTTGATTTCACACAATAACATTCCACCATACAACAAGATCTTACCCCTCCTCATAGCGGGAGGTAAAACATTAGTGTTTATCTGAAAGGCTTGTGTTTCTATTCTGTGATGCAGGATCACTTCAGGCTGTTTATCGTCGAAACAAAGTTGTTGAGGTTCAACATTCTTGACCTGAAAGAACAACAGCAGTTGAGAAACTAGCCTCACCAGAACGTCCATTTAGTGGTGGTTGATTTTGATTCTGTCACATGATCTTCATCAGCACATGGAGTTTGTCCATTCGTCATTAAAATGTAGATATTCAAATTTCAATTTTAAATTCTGAGGTAAAAAAAAAAAAAAAAAAATCCACTCTTGACCTTGGAAACACCTCCAAGAATGTTGTGGGTTTAATTTTAGCTCTGAGACCCAGATTTACTCCTGGGCCCTTCGCAGTATCTCTTCCACCCAGTGTTACAGTTTATGTGCGAGGACGAGCCACAAGATTTCAGGTCAGGTCATATAAAAACAGCATTTTTTAATCACATGGCACCTTTATCTGGTTACACCGTCACAGAAACACTGAGAGAGATGGCTGGGTGGGTCGATGACATAAATGCACTTGCCTGTTGCCGTTTGTGTTTTAATAGATAATTGTATTTACACCTCTTCACACTGTCTCACCATATGATGCTGTGTGTGTTGTAGCTGTCCAAAGACCAGCGGCTGGTGTACTCAGGACGGCTCCTTCAAGACCACCTGCAGCTCAGAGACGTGCTCAGAAAGGTGAAGACTGACTGCAGCACTTGTTCGTTTTGTGTGTGTGTGTGTGTGTGTGTGTGTGTGTGTGTGTGTGTCTGTGTGTGTGTGCATAATGTTTCACATGGATAACATTTAGTTTTGCAGCATCGCAAATACACAAAAATACGTTTTTTGAACTG